CCAAAAATTATTCAGAAGGAGTCTGGGAAAAAATTGAAGTTCAGGTTTGCATGAACCTGGTTGACAGCATGCCCAGGAGACTATATGCTGTCATTAAGGCTAAGGGTCACCCGACAAAGTATTGATAGCTGTGTAAATATCGACAGCTGTATGAATAATTTTTGGTTGATTGTAATCCACTACATAGCTTTCCATCAAAGTTATCTGACATTATCAAGCTGAATATGTTCTGACACAGTTTAACTCTGAGTTCTTGTCATATTTTATTACCATTTTCTAAACTATAGCGAATAAACTGTGATAATGTGAGAAATGTTGAAGGTGTCTGAATAAATTTTGGTTTGACTGTATCTATTTGATAAATGAAGTTAACCAACTAACATTATACATACTCTTTTGGTTTCTGTACCCAATATTTAAAACATTTACAAATGCAATGAAAATATTGGTATCGGTACTCGGTATCGGCAAGTACCAAAAATAAAAGTATCGGTATCGGGCGAGTACTGGAAAAAGTGGTATCGGTGCATCCCTAGCAAGAATGCAATAAACTGATCAGATGTGACAGCAAAGACCTTGGGATTGTTACAAAACAAAAATCTATAAGAGCTAATGAACTAGTAGTGGGAAATAGTCCCACTACTTTTAGTTAGTAACTCCGCAATACTCAGTTTTACATCTTAATATTTGTGTGTAGATAATGTTTCCTGTTACCTGCAGAGTTTCCTTGTCAATGCTGACCACCATTTTGTTCTTCTCACACTGAACACTGAATCCTACATTCAGAGCCCCCTGCTGTTCCTCGGGACCCCCAGCCTGATAGACTCGCTCCTCAAGAGACGGGGGCAGAGGTGGGAATGACTGGCCCTGCTCTGCAGATGGTAGGAAGGGGAATGGGAACCTGTTCCTTGCAGGGGAATCCCGGGTGCTGGGCTTAGGAAGCGGGTTGGTGTTGCGGAGAATGGACAACTCTGGTGGGAACATTCCCTCATCCATGATCCCTAGATCTGGAAGTGACAGCAGTTGAGATTAAAACATCACTCTGATTGACAGCTTCTTGTTGTTAATGCAAATGCAAGGAAGTCACACACAAAGCCACACACACACAAGTCACACACAGAGTATTTTTGTATAGTTTTCCAGTATAAAATAATATTATGAGATAAATTTACTTAAAAACCAACATATTAACAATTGTTTTTGAAGAAAATACCTTGTTTTAGGTTTTATTTTTCTATTAGCAAATTGCTTTTTTATCAAGCATTTTGCAGTTGTTTTAATACTGGCATTTTTAATGTTTTAATAATAGCAATAAAAAAATAAAATCTTATGTTACACAAGTTCACTACTGAAGTAAATTTATCTTGTTTTGAGGATGTTTAGTTTGTGTATTGAAATCATTTTTTGCAGTGTATTCAATTAGGTTTATTTATAATCAAGGTTTATTTACTAATTAAGCGTATTGTAACCATTTTAAGTTTTTACTGTTCATATCTTCAGTTATTGCTCTTGCCTTGTTCTCTGAGGAGCAATTTGAAGTGGTTGGCAACAGGGGTGTTGGTGTAGGAAGTGACGGGTTTGAATCCGTTTTCCTCTGCCCACTGGATGAGAGCCTGAGATCCTGCGGGCAGCTTCTGTTTCACCATCTTTGACACCTGCATCAGCCTTTCTGTGCCTTCACTCAGGCTGACGGTATCTGATGTCTGAGAAAGACAGAGGGGAAGAACAAGATAACACGCATTCACTTCACATGCAGAAAAACAGAGGAAGGCAGTCAGAAGTGTTCATTCTTTGCTGTAGAATAGAAAAATGAATCGAGTCCTGTTCAACTTGTTCAATTAGTATTTCTGAGACACATTTCACAACTCTTAAACAATAAGCCAAGGTTGTTCTTGTTTTCATTAACAACATATTTTGATCTAATACCTTATCTTATGGTCCAAAATTAACACTCGCCAAGCTCCAAGTAAAGAAATGTTGGCCAGAAAAGGAATTGCAACATAATGCATGTTTTAAATCAAATTGCAAGAATGATAAGTCTGACTTGGTGATGGAAGAGAAAACACGTCAGTGCTCAAATACCAAACAGTGCTTACCTTTTTAGTGTAAATTTACCATCAGAACTAATTCCTAATTCCTTTTTTATGTCGAATATCCCTCACATTAAGTCACGTTAAGCTGGATGTTGTGTTTATTAATTTTTTTATTTAATATTGAAAGGGAAAAAAGACAACAAAAAATTCAATTTTTTAAAAAACACGAAAAAAAAAAAAAAAAGAAGAATTTGGCTTGATTTTTTGTTTTAAGGTTAAGGCATAGAAAACGGATAACAATAGTCAAGCTGTTAATAATTCTGCTTTCGATATTAAATAAAAAAATGAATGAAACGCAATATACATGGACATATGTGTCCGAGCTTATAGTTAAAAATATGCACACAAAAAATTCAATTGTCATATCGATGCAAATATTTTAATAAAAATATGCAAAACATTTTAGTTGTTTTTTTTTTTTTTTTGTAAAATCACATGACATTGGTCTTTATTGCAAAAATTTTGGACCGTCCTCATTACATATCTGTAGTTTCGACAAAGTGAGACATGCTGCTGTTGGTCTATGACCAATTTACCAGGTTCAATTTGAATGTGGTTTGAGATACAGTATGTCAGATTACATAGGAACTTTATGTTAGCTTTTGTTTGTTCTCTACTGGGTGTGAAGGACAGATGGCCCTCATTCCCAGCCGTGTTTCCCACAAATGCCTCACCAGGCTGGACAACGAGCTTGAGCCAATCTGCCAACAGTAGCAGGGCTTTGATTTGATGAGGCTGTGGATCGTATCACATGCATAACTTACATTCTCCTATGCTCTAAAACACTGTAACTGATTCACTTGGACACAGACAAGTTCAATCAAACACATTCATTAGCTGAAGTTCAACTAAATTGATTGTGCTAAAGTGGAACTATTGCAAGTATACTTTAGGTATCTTGCATTTAAAGACGATGATATTCAAAGATCATACAATCCTCATCAATAGTGACATTAAAACACATTTTAGGCTTAATATTAAGAAATGTGCATTGTGCACAAGTAGTACTCCAAATAAAGTTTAAATATAATACTTTTTACTATGGGAGTCTTGGAGCATGTCTCAACTTCTTAAACTTTAACTGCTTCCATTTTAAAATATAAACATTCTTATATATAAACTGCTGTTGTCTACTGTACTGTTTTGGTTTCTGTCTTTGTATATTCAATGAGAGATCAGTATGTGAAAGAATCACACTGTACTTGTACATAAA